AGCTGAGGGTCACGTTTGGGGGTGGAGGGAGTGTGTCAGCCCCTGCAGGGTGGCTGCTGAGGAGTACCCCTCACCCCCTTGAGCAGTCAGGAGGCCACACTTAGGGCTGAGGGTAAGGCTCGGTGTCTCCTTAGGGAACTGCCCCTCTGCTGGGTGGAGGGGCTGGGGGTTTCTTTTCTGGCTTGACCAGGGCTGCCTTCCTCACCACTAAGGGGGTAGCTGACGGGTGTAAAACCTGGGTGCACAGGGACTAGTGGGACAGAGTGACACCTTGGTGTCTGCTGCACGGCCCGAGACACATTCACCTCTGCCGCCCTGCCTGCTGCGATCAGAAGCCCCAAGGCTCTGACACACTCACCAATCATGATGCCGGAGAAAGCCAGGACCAGGGCGGCCACCAGGGCAGAGGTCACAACGGAGAGGATCAGCGAGAGTGGCAGGTGGGGCTCCGGGGTAGGTGACACTGGAAGACAGGTCCCAAGGGGGCATTGACAATGGCACTGCTTCTCCTCTGAGTTGGCCTCAAGTCACAGATATCCTCCCTAGCTGGGACAAAAGCCAACTGGTGCTTTTCATCCTGTCACAGCTTCTTTTTTTGGGGGGTGGAGTGGGGGGGGACCACTGGTACAACGCAGGCACATCCTGGATTTACAGGCCAACCGTAGCTTTTGGGTGGAGGGAAACTTGAACAGGAATGAGCATCAAATCCTGGGTGTTGGTCCCAAACATCCACCGTCCCAGGGTAGGAGGAAGAGGGAGGAGAAAGGGAAGTGAGTGCAGAAGAGATTGGAGGACCTGAGGGGACTCTACCCTCGCTAAGACCCAACCCTAGGCAGTTCTCAGTGACACCCCCAGGCCCAGGACACGTCCAGGAGGGTCCCAGGCTCCCCCTGCTGGCCAGCCCACATGGAGGCATCTGGCCCTATAGCGGTCACATCTCTGGAGGGGCGATGGCACCTGGAACACATGCAGGGGAGGGACAGCAGGGGAGGGACGAGGCACACAACTGAATCCGTGTGATCAAAACAAACAGAATATTTAATCTGGAGACGGTCGAAAGGAAAAAGAAGCCCTGTCTTCACGCCCACCCCTGAAGGCCGTGGTGAGTCAAACATGGATGACCCCTTTGTGGAGATGTCCCAGGTGAGGAATCAAACGAGGTGACTTTCAGACTCCTTCAGGGGCTACAGCCCATTTTCCCATAAGGTCCCTCTGCCTGTCACCACAGCACTGGCAGTCGAGGGACAGGGTGGTGCTGACAGAATTGAGTCGGTGTGTCCCCAAACCATGGAAAGCAAGTGCTTAAGGTCCAGTTCTCTTCCCCCGTCCATCCTGTCCCCTTACCAATGCAGGAGACGCCGTCTTCAGCCAGCACTGTCCCATGGTCACAGAAGCAGATGACCTTGTGGCTCTCGGGGTCCATGTGACATTCGTCCACCTCACAGTGACTGCAGTTGAGGTAATGCTTAATATTCACTTCCCCGTGGCCCTCCATCACTGGTGACAAGGGGGGAGGGTCAGATTGGGTGGAGCCTGTGGGGACCACCCGGCTCCTTGTTTCCTGCCTTTGCACTTTATCTCCAGCTGCTCACTGTGGGGTCTCTGGTCCCTGTTCCCAGGTCCCCCTGCCACGGGAAGCCCATCTCTGTGGAGGGAAGCTTCCCCACACATCTGATGAGTCATCTCAGACAGGGGATGTGAGCATTTTGTGTGTTGATGGGAAACTCCACACACAGGGCCCTTAGGTGGGCAGGTACCCGTGTGCCGGCTACTGCTGCATTTCTAGGACCAGCCAGCCTGGTCATATTGTGCCTCTACGTCCATGTTAAATCCTGACTTCCAGAAAACTCAGCGAGATGAGCCTAGCAAGACCTGCCTGCAAGGGACCCACAATTGTGTCTTTGTATCCTGGACATGTGTCAGGAACCTGGAGGTTTTAGCTTGGTGGGACAACTGGCCCCAGGAAATTTGTTCCACCACGTGGCAGAGGGTACCTTTTAAAGCTGGGGTGTATAAGATGCCCAGTGGACTGATAAAAGAAACCCCATCTTCCCCATCCATTTCAGGGTCATTGTTTGAGGCCGCATTGCCACCTGTGGCAAACCAGAAAAGAGTTGAACACAGAGAGGTGGGCGGGCGCCAAAATCTCAACACACATGCGCATCAGCGGGGCATGCAGCTCTGGCCAAAGCCTGGGGTCATGGGAGGCCTCAGGGGCAGGGGAGGTGGGGAGGGAAGGGAGGTTCAGGTCACAGAGGCTGTGCTGGGGACGTGGCTCAGTCGATGCTGGGTGTCTGGGCCACTTTCTCCTCCAGGTTGGGGCCAGCTCTACAGGGGAGTCTACCACTCGGCTGAGGCCCCACCAGGAAGCCATTGGTGGGAGCAAGAGTCCGAAACACTTGAGTCTTTCCAGGCTGGTTGGGGCCTCTTTCAGGGCCAACCAGGACGACAGCACGGAGGTGGGGACTTGCTCTCCAGTCCCATTGGGTCAGGGCTGGGGCATGGGGGGAGCTGAGCCCCTGTGCCTTCAGGCTCCTGTCCCTCCTTTCATCTGGGGCTGGGTTATCTTGGGGCTCCCCCCCAGGGCTCCTCCCACCCACCCTTGGCTTGGAAAAGAGCGTGTGGTTCACACGAGCATCTCATACAGAGCATGAAAGCAAACACAGACAGGAACGGCAGGGGCAGGCATGCAGTGTGTCCTAATCTGGGGGGGGAGGACGGGGGTGGGGGGCAGCCAGCATCTTCCAGCCTCAACTTCAGAAGGCTCTTTGGAAGGCAGCTGGGGTCAGTGGTTGCTTGCTGGAGTGTTGGGCGGGGGCTACCTGCAGTGGCCCTCAGGAGGAGCGCCATGGGCACGGGGAACAGTGCCCTTTTGGCCACTGTGGGCTGGGCAGGGGACAGAGTGAGGAGCCAGTGAATCCACAAAGGAGTCCCTTAAGGAGCTGGTTTGGCCAGGCCACTCAAAGGAAGGCATGGACCTGGGGGTCTGGCCTCCAAGGTTCTCAGGCCAGAGAGTCCTTGCAGTGGCTCGGAGAATAGTGGGGGAAGCCAAAGCCTCCTCGTCTTTGGCTTTGGGGGAGGTGGAAGATCACCTGGGATCTTGATGCTGTTGCCAAGGAAGCCTGCAGGCAGGGTGCTAGCTCGAAAGCCAACACCCTGCCTCTGGCTGGCCCTGCTGGGCTGGGGGGAGCGTGCAGTTACATCACAGGCCACACTGGGGAGGGCAGGGGGGAGGGAGGGCCGGGACAGGAAAGGGAGGGGAGGTGCCTAGGACTACGTGGGGGAGGGAGTGACACCTTGAACACGAATCATCTTTACCTATATATCCTCCGCCTCCTCCACCTGAGGAGCACCCCCCTCCACCCCCTCCGAAACCCCCTCTTGTCTCCCACCCCCACTTCTTCATGGCCTGGGGGCAGGCATGTCCTCCAGTGGCGCCCTCCAGCAAAGACTTTCCGGCCCAGAGCAAGGAAGTGTTATCTTTCCAGCCACCTCCACCACCTGCAGGGGGAAGAGAGAGAAGGCCTCCTAAGGATGCTGCTGCTTTGAGGGGCACTCTGCCAGCTCCAGTTCCGGGGTGACTTCAGTGGGTCCTGAGGGCTCCAGATTCTACAGCTGGAAAACCAGGAGAGTGCCATTGGGCTAGGGAGACCAATGGCCACAGTTTATCCTTAGAGGATTTGCCTGGTTGCTTTGCTTCCTCTCAGGCCTCTCTGGCTCAGAAGCAGGGAGTGTGCTTAGGGACTTGTGGAAGTGGGGACAGGCAGCCAGACAACTCTCTCCCAATCCGGAGGCACCACAGCTTCCTTTCATTAACTACTTCTCACCCTGGTCTCAGTCAAGTGTCAGAGGCCTGCAGAGGTCACTGCATTAAAGTTTCTTGCGGGAATCCTGGACTAGGCACCAGACAGCCCCAGGAGCTCTATTGTTTGCAGGCTGTGAAACTCTGGGCATGAGTTTCTTTCTGAGCCTCAGTTTCCTTACCTGTGACTTGGGGATAATAAGACCCACCCCATGGGGTTGATGCTAAGCTTAGTGGAGAGAGTGGGGGCGTGAAATATACCACCGACCACCAAGTGTCGGGATTGTTGGGGGTTTGACAGGCATGTGCGCAGGTGGCCTCATGCCAGGGCTCACTCTGCTTTAGCCATTCTAAAGCCAGGAGCAGAGAAGGCAGGGGGAGGGGGTAACACTCCCATGACAATGGTCCTTAGAGCTAACCCCTGGGGCTGCTTTAAGCAGCTGCAAAGGAAATTAACCTACAGAGCTGAGGTTGGATGTGGCCCAGGTTGACCACAACAAATCTCTCCTGCTGGTCTTTGACAATCCAAGTCCCTAATTGTTCCTCCAGTGGCATTTCAATAGGAATCTACTCCCCAAGAGCCCAGTAGTTGAGGGTGGCAGGGCCTGGAGACTCATGCAGAAAGAACCGAATCAGCAAGGAGTGTGTCTGCTGGGCTGGAAGAGCCAACGCCTGCGAGGGTCCTGGGGAAGAACTGTAGGTTGCGGTTCTCCCTACCCAGAGGGGGCAGCAGAGGGCCGTGTAGGTGAGGGAGCTTCAGCTAGAGCTGACTGTGGCTAGAAAGAGGAGCCAGGGTTAGAAAATGAAGCTGATATCAGTCACAAGCTTGGCTCTGCAGGGGGTCAGCAGAGCTGAATGGAGGCCCTGGGGCGGGCTGTGGGGAAGGAAGGTTAGTGCTGGGAACTCCATGGCTGGCCAGAGTAGCAGTTACGGCCCTGGGTACTATCTGCCTTCCCTTGCCTGCTACTGGCACCAGTAGCCAGAGCTCCCAGTATCTCAGGGGCCGGTGACTACTGTGCCTCTAGGTGCCTAATGGCAGCCTGGTGAGCTGAAGCCGGTGGGAGATTTCTGGGGGTGGGCTTGGGGGCTTTACCTGCGGCTCCGGAATTGCCGTTCAGCCCTAGAACTGAGGAGTTATTCTCCAGTCTCTCTGGGTGGAATGTGTCTGTCTTGGCCCCGTAGGCTCTGCCGCCACCACCGGCTGCAATGATCAGGGGCACCGGCACTCCATCCTTCATCTGGCCAGGGGAGACATTCAGAGGTTGAGAGACTGAGAGGGCGTCCACTCTGGAGATCCCGCGTTCTTGGTTAAGTGTTTAAACCTGGCTGTTTGCAGGGCATCAGGGGGACCTCTTGGTCTGAGATGGTTTGAGAGCCCCAACAGTTCTTGTATCAGTGGGGGATCTCTCAGAGCAGCAAAATCAAGGGTATACATAAATGTGCATGCGTGTGTGCGCGTGTGAAGGTGCATAGTCGTATTATACATAGTTACATTATATATATTGGAACTGGGAATGGATCTTGGAGGCCACTTATCCCAGTCCCTTTCCTGAAGCTTCTCAGACTAGCCTTGGACGTCTGGGTGCTGGTGATTAGAAGCAGGTCCCTCTTCTCTCCCCTTCCTCTCCACTCTTCGGCATCTCTGGCTCTGACCCCACGTTCAAGATCAAACCTCAGCCTCATCATCCTGTGGCAGAAGTTCCCAGAGTTTAGCTTCTGGCCTGGCTCTGATGGTGTCTGAAAGGTCTACCTTAGGACAGACAGCTGGCCCAAGAGGGCAGAGGACCTTCTTGGAGCCCTGAGGTGGGGCCGCAAAGCACTGGTGAACCTGAGCTGATCAATGAGTGAGAGGAGAGCTGGGACAGACAGGGCCCGTTTTCCTTTAGGTCTCAGCTCCTCATCTTTCTAGGGGGATAGAGTACCTCAGGACTTTCCGGCCCAGCGCTGTCCCGAGGTGACAACCCCACGAGGCCCAGAAGTCACTGCCTTGGGAATCTGGCCAAGCGGACCTTACCTTAAACACGTAGGTGGCGCCCCCCCCACCTCCTCCTCCTCCTGCCCACTCGTGCACGCTTCTGTTCACGCGGATTTCTTCTTCGATCACGTTGTTCTCCCCGATGCAGACTTTCTGGATCAATTGGTTTGCCTGTAGAAACAAAAAGCATGTTAGGCTTGTGCCCAAATCAGGGTTCATCACTTTCCAGCGGACGAATCTCGGATGCTAAACGTCAGGATCTGAACCTTCTTAAATAGCTTACAGTTGGGTGGAATAGAAAAAACACCTACACACACAAATTTCACTCTGGGCCACGTAGGGAAGGAGCACAAGCTTAGATACAAAATGCTAGGAGGAGTGGGGAGAGCAAGGAGGAGGTTTGTTGTTTTTGGTGGTCAGGGAGGACTGCCTGCAGGAGGTGGCTTACTGTTGGGCCTGGAAGGATACAGGGGGGATTAGCACAGAGAACGGGGGAGTTCTGTCATTCCAGGAGGAGAAAGCAGCAGAAATCAAGTGGGAAACGGGGTGTTAAAGTATAGGACTTTCTTGCTTTTAGAGAAATCCATTTTAGGACAGAAAGATGGTTCTGGAGGACCTGTCAGGAAGAGGAGTGTGAAGCCCCTGTGTGGTGAGATAGGGCTCAGGGTACAAACTGGGTCATGGCAGGAGCCTTTGAATGCAATCAGAGGAGTTGGGTTTCCTCTTTTAGGCAATGGAGCCGCTAAAGGTTCTGGAGAAGGTGCAGTTCTGAAGCATCATGGGAAGAGTAAAGAAAAACAAAGCAAACGAATCCCCCCAAACACAGTGGAAGGATGGACTCAGATTTCATTCCCGCTCATCTTTGGGAAAGTCATTTCTCCACTTTGGACATCTCATTCCTTCCAGCTAATGTCCCATTTCTTGTCTCTAAAAATCCCTGGCACAGCCCTACATAGAGCTCTCGGTCTTACCTGTGGACCTTGCAGGAAGATATTCTGCACTCACCACCCTCCTTGGGTGACTTGGTCCTCCATTGTGGGACAGTAATGAAGGACAGGCTGGTGGGATAGTGTGAGTAAGGTGCCAGCGGAGTGTCTCACACGTTAGGGCCTGGATAGCTGGCTGCCGTTATTATTTTGTTTGCATTGACTTCTGGACCCCACAAGATTCCTGGTGGGGACTCAGGGGTCTAGGAGTCTCTGGGATTGTGCTGGAAATTTCTGTAGTGCAGACTCCTGGAATTCCTGCATAACCAGGGTATTGCCTCAAGAATAGCTGCACCTGCTTGTCGGCCACCAAAGCTCAGATGAATTCTCCAAGCATCAGCCTGACCTCGGAGGAAAATGACTTTTCTTTCACTTACTGGAGAAAATAAACCAATAAAACATCAAATTTCCATCAAGTGGTGCTGTGTAACCAGCCAGTGGACATGGCAATTCATCTTGAGCCACTCCTTATGCTAAAGCATTCAGGGATGCCAGCAATGAGTACTAGAGAAATTTCCAGATAAACAGCCGAGATGCAATTTGTTTTATGGCATTTTGGATTTAATGATGGAAATAATTTGATATTTTTTAGAGTGGATTTAGTGTGGATGGAAGGCTCTGAATTGCTATTGTAGAGAACCAATCTCTCTCTGGTGCATATGTAACCCTGTTCAGGCTGGAGGGAGATTGCTGGAAGGGAGCATTCTAATGGTGGGCTGGGGCAGGCATGGGCTGCAGGCCGAGAACGGAAGCCATGTCCAGGGTAAGAGGGAGGAAGTGTGGGCTTCCAGCTAAATAGGATATTGAGTCCACACTGGGTTACTGACAGCTCTTGCTAGAGATTTGCTGGGCCATGTGGGTGGGCGCCTTACATCCCTGGACTGACTCCATTTGTAAATCAAGGTGCTGCCCAGTTTAAACCAGCAATGCTAAGAAGGCCCATCCCCCAGACCCTGCTCCCTCCCCTCTTCTTCTTTGGCTCAAAGCATTGGGTTCCACATCCCCCCTGGGTCAGGGGGGCGGGATGTCTGTTTCAGTAGAACAGAATCTGGAGACTGTTGGGGTGAGGAAGAGAGGGCCACGGGGTTTGAGGATGGCCTTTTGTTTAACTAAATGGGGACCCATGCCCATCCTCCACTGCTCCTGCTCCAAGGACACCCTTTAAATTGGTTGGGGGTGAGGAATGGTCCATTCTCAGCCTGTGTCTTACTGGACCTAGAAGCAGCACTTGGCAGAGTTGGCAGACTTTCTCTGTCTGCCTGCCAGGAGTCCACCCCCTCTGATCCTCTCCTACCTTACAAACTTCTCCTTTTTGGTATCCTTTGCTGGTCTCTCTTCTTTTTCCTGGCCTCTAACTGTTGGTCCCCAGGGCTCTTCCTTGATTTTCTTCTCTACCTGTATGACACCCTAGGCAACCTCAAACCATCTCAGCCTTATGCTGATTTCTCCAAGCTCTATGTCTTTACCCTAGACCTCTCTCCCGACTCCAGTGGCCTACCTCCTGTTGTCCGTCCAGCGTCTCCCTTGACCCCCTACAGCCCTCCATGTCAGTGTCGATGGACTTTGACCTTCAGATCTTGCCCCCAATGTGCTCCTTCCACATTCCCCAATTCAGATGATGGTAGCTTCCTCCTTCCAGTGGCCAGAATCTGTTCTTGGAATAATCCTTAACTCTTTTTTTCTCTCTCAATTTCTCATCTAATGAAGCAGGAAATCTTTTTGGATTTTACATTTAAAATATGCCCAGAATTCAACCACTTTCACCATCTCCACCGTCACCCTTGTATCTTGCCTGGATTAATGCAATAGCTCTTGGGTTCATTGCCCCGAGTCTTCCCTTGAGCCCATGCAGTCCTCTCTTCATGGTGAAGCCAGAGTGAGTCTTCTGACACACACACAGTACTAAGTCACTATTTGCTCAACCCTCCTATGGCTTGAACATGTCCTTGGAATGGGCTGCTCAGCACCATTACCCCGACCTCCTCTCTTACCTCCCCTTTCTCTGCTCCCCCTACTGATTCCCATGGGCATCCGACAGGCTCCCACCTCAGGTACTTGGCCTTTGCTGGTCATTCTTTTCCCAGATACTTTTCTCCTCCCTCTGCTTGAACATAAGCTCCTTGTGAATAATGACTTTTCTTTTCCCCCTCAAAGTTTCTAGAATAGTGACTGGCACACAGTAGGTATTCAACACATATTTGTGGAATAAATTTGAATAAATTGAGGGTTATCTGGCTCATGAGCTGATTTTTCATAATACTTGCCTGGGCGGGGGGTGATGGTGGTGATGGGATTTAACACGTAGACCAGTGCTTTTGCTCCCATAGAACCCTGGATTGTCCTTTCTGGGGAACACTACTGGCATCAAGTGGGTAGAGAACCAGCATGCTGCTAAATATCCTGCAATGCACTGGGAAGCTCCACCCCCCAAAGAATATCTGCTCCAAAATGTCAGCAGTACCTCTGGTGGGGAAGCCTGATTTCAACTTCTGCCACCGGGTGGGTCTGGAAGGACCAGAGGAGCAGGGGCCAGGTGAGTGTGTGAGTGAGTGAATGAGTGTGTGTGTGTGTGTGTGTGTGTGTGTGTGTGTGTGTGTGTGGTGGGGGTTTCCAGCAGGTGGAGCCCACTTCACACTCAGGAGTGGCCAGGTACATGGAAAGAGCGACCTTCACAAATGTGCAGTTGAACTAGCAAAGTTGCCAAATCCTGAGGTTTAATTCTTAGAGTTAACTTCATTCTTTCAAGATCATCTCTAGAAACTATTTTTTTTTTTGCTAGACAGAACTGGGGATGGAGATAGTAACTGAAAATATGTTTTTTCCCTTTCCCAACAACTCAGGAGGCTTGGAGCAACCAGGGTACACCATTACTTTCCCCTTATGCTCATGCTATGCCCCACCCAACCAGTAGAGGGGGCTCTCTGTGTCCTTGACTGAGAATTGCCTCCTCCTGCCCTGGGGACTCTCCCTGTGTATCCACTAAGATGGAGAGTAAGTAGGTTGATTAATAAAAATGATAAAGGGCAGCAACCCAGAGGAACAAGTGGATTACAATTGAATTAAAACAAAAAAGACACGTTCCTGTGAAAAGACATAACTGATTACAATCCAATCAAGTAAAAGTTCCTTGCTGAAGTCAATGCAATCTTTCTGCTTAGATGAAAGAATTGCATTAGCACTCAATGAATTCCTGTGAAAATTACAGCAGCCTGTAATTTAATGACTTAATATATTATAGCAGGTTGGAAAGTCCTGATTATAGTTGCTAAATAAAAGTTGAAGTGGTGACCTTTCTCAGGCAGAAGGTTGCTCCTCTTAGCTTACTTCTGTTCTTTGCCTTCACCTCATGAGGGATGGGGCAGGGAGGAAAGCTGAGCTCTACTCTTGCTTGCCATCCTCAGGAATCTCAGTCACAGCCTGGCTCTTCTGCATTTATTTTGTGAATTGACCTGCTGTGAATAGACCTGTTTCCCTACCTATTCTCCCAGGATACTCTCTAATATGTTCCTGGAGAAGGAGCTTCCCTGGGCACAGGAACCCAGCTCCCTGCCTGGGCACCTACCCCAAGCAAAGCTTACTTCAGGCAAGGCTGGGGTCTGGCCCAATCCACCATGCAGCATCCTGGGTTTCTGCTAAGACAGCCAGCATTGCCAGGGGCCTGTCCCCTGCCCCCAACACAGACAGGCAAGAGGTAACAACTAGGGCATCTAGGGGTTTCACAGCTGCGCTTAACTAATTGCCTCTGTCTCATCCTCCTGGCAATTTTAGGCCACTCTGGGCTTTCTCAGCTCCTGCTATTGGTGTTCTCCCTCTTGGACAGCTGGTCACCCTATCCCGAGAGGGTCAGAGACACAATGTCAGCCTGTCTCTGGGACTACAGAGGCATGCCCAGGGATGAATTATAGCATGAATGGGAAAATGTCTATGGAAACTGAGGCAGGTAAAGGGCACAGGAAAAATAAGAGCCCTGAGCTCTGGGCCACTTTGTGAGTAACTTGGGACAAGTCCCTTTACCTCTGTGGCCTCCATTTTTCTTACCTATAAAATGTGGGAACTGGGCTGCATAGTATTTATTCTGGATCTTGGCTTATGTCTTAATTTTTTGTTTTAATCACACACATAATAAATAATATGTGAAAAATCCCCCTTTTTTTTTTTGGTAACGATTCCAGTCATGATCGATCAAGCCCTCCCAATCTAGTCCTGTCCCCAGCAGTAGCCACTGTTAGCTGTATCTTTCAGAACTTCTTTTGTGCATTTATATGCATCTATATGTGGCCATGACTCTGTGATATCGAGCTGAACAAGAAGTTTAAGCTGGTATTTTTCTATTTGTAATAGCATGATTAAATAGGCTCAGGAAGTGACTCCAACTTATACTTCTGCAGAGAAGAATAATCAGTCCTTCAGTTTCAAAGGTCAATCATGAAGCCCATGCTTCAGTCTTGGTCTCCGTGGGGATGTAAAACTCCCATAGCCACATATCACCTACTTTCTTGAGCACCCACAAGACCCTGGGGGCGGAGGGGCATTTACAGGCAGAACCGGGGGCAAGTCCTGCAGCTTTTGGAAGTGAACTCCCAGGAGTGTGCTGGATGTTGGTGTCCTCCAAGAGGCCCCCCCCTGCTCTGGGCACTTACACTGGGGCAGGCGTCCTCTCCCTGCTGCCCGACCAGGATGTACAGCATGTCGTCCTTCTCCAGGTTGAAGATGCCCAGCACAGACACGCCATGGGACCGCATCATGGTGTTCTTCCCGCCTTTCCCTCCGGCGGCTCCATAGCCTGAGATGCTGCAATGGACAAAGCACACTGGCTCCTGCAACAGAAAGAAGACTGACCCCCCTTTCCTGCCAACCCAGTGGCTTCCAGGGCCATCGCTGCCATGGTCATGTCGGAGCATTCTTGCCCACATCAGCCTCGTGAGGCCAGTAGGGAGGGATTCTTCCTCCACTGTCAGGAGAGAAATGTAGAGCCAGGAAGGTAAGAAACTGGAAAGGTGTGAAGAGACAGAGGGAGAAGGAGGGGACACACACACACACAGAATAAGGTCGGGGTGATGACCTCTCAAATACCTAAGCCTTCGTCATTTTGGATTTCCCAGTCCAAGATCAAAAGACTCATAAGACCTTGGATAAGTAACTTAATCTCTCTGTTCCTCATCTGTAGCATGAGGACAAGAAGAAAAGCTACCTCCTAAGTTACACATGTTATGAAGATAAAAGGAAGGCAGACAGGTTGTCTGAGAATTGTAGCTGCCACAAAATAGGCCCCCAGGGAGTACTTGTTATCAGCAGCATGAGTGGCCGGAATAGCAGCTGGCTTTGTGCAAAGTTTTGCAGTCACCCCGCAGGGTCCTGAATGAAGGAGTTTCCACGGCGGAGGCGGAGGAGAACATGTTTATGAGCACAGAC